GCCACGAAAAGCTTTTAAATAAAGATTGTTAAAATCTGAAATGGATTACACAGATGAAGTTAGATAATTTCCTTCCCTGATAAAATGATGAGGACTGAAAAAGTAAAAGATGGTTTGAAATGCAACGACAGAAATGCAAAGTTTTTAGGGCATACAGGAAAAGTTTAGTTAGAATTATTTTTCGAGAGAACACTCCTCTCAGATCGGTTGTGGGGAATGTAATTGAAGCCAGCCCTAATGTCATACTCTGACATCCACCATTGTGTTTGTACAGATGTTTCCAGCCAGTGACTGAGTGGAGCAGGGATACTAAGGCAGGCTCGTCACAAAGAGGTGTGTCAGATTTCTCTGATATCTGGCTTTGGCTCAGATGCCCTGCTGGCCTTGTCAAATTTTCTTAAAACCCTACTGCAATTTAAGACCTTCCACCCTCCCTCCCTCTCACACTTCCTTCTTCTCTCTTTTCCTTCCTTCCCACTCCCCTTCACAGAGGTCAGACCTGAATTGCGTTTTACTTCTCCTAGCTCCTTTCCTATTTACCCTTACAGATGTCTCCCTCAATTAATCCCTTGCGCGTCTAAGAAAGTCTTGATATTTGCTTCTCAGAAGCCCTGGAGCAATGCACAAAGATTCTGTTTGCCTTGGCTTGAAAGAATCTTTAAAATAAAGGAGGAGAAATGACTATAGCAATCTCCTAAATTGTTAGAAATTTATTTCATGTTAAAGATTTATTCCGAGACTAAGAAATTATGTGTAAACTGATTAGATTTAGATTGTCTTTGTTATTCTTATTTAAAAATGGTTATAAAACAGTTTACTTAGAAGACCTATTTTTAAAAATAAATTTCAATTATCCATTCTATTGCTTTTATGAACAAAGACAGATTTATTGTATAAATAAATCCACTTAACAAAATACAGTCTCTCAGCTTAGTCTCCATGTAACTGAGAACTAGAGTCAAATGTCTTATTCTTTTTCTCTCACATTAAAAAAGCCAATTTGTCAGCGAAAGGGAAATATGGAGGCATAGTATGAAAAAGAGACATTGTGTGTGGTAGATTTTATTTTCCAAAGATATAATATCTCACATCCTATGTGTTCTTCCTCACTGTGGCTTGTAACTCTCCCATGGAAAGGTGGTGTCTGTGCTCCCCTCACCTTGAGTTTGGGAAGGCTTCTCTTCCTTGGATCAGTAGAGAATGGAGGAGGTGACCATTCTTGGATTTGTGAGTTGGTATTTCTTACTAACTTTAGAAAATTCCTTACTGTTATTTCTTTACATATTTCTTCTGCCCCATTTTCTTTCTCTTTTCCTTCTGGAACTCTAGTCGCCCACACTACTTGATTTTATCCCACAGATATCAGATGCTCTAATCCATTTTTTTCACTCTTTTTATCTTTGTGTTTTGGTTTGAATAATTGCTATTGACCTATTCTAAAATTCACCTTTTTCTTTCATCGTGTCCGGTCTATAGAAATCACTTAAAAAAAAAAAAAATCTCTGTATTTCTCATTGCTTTATTTTCCCAATAATTTTTATCTTTCTGCTGAAATTTCCATACTTTCCTACATATTTTCCAATAAATCATTTCACATATTTATCATGTTGTGTTTTCAGGACCTGTCTGATAATTCTAACATTTGAATCATCTCTGATTCTGCTTCTATTGACCATTTCTTCTTTTGACTATATCTTTTCTTGGTCATCCAAGTCTTTCATAATTTTTTGATATGTGTCAGATGGTCTATAAAAAATTGAGACTGAAACAAAGAATATTTACCCGCAGAAAACAGTACATACTTTATTCTGTCAGTCTGTTACTGCAGGTGCCTAAGTCAGTCTAAACTGTAGTTGTACTAGGTAAGGATTTGTTACCAGTTTAGTTAGATTTAATTCAGCATAGGTTTCAAATATTTTTGAGGAACTATCAAGACTTTTCTTCTACAGGAAGAGGTGTGCTTAGAGGTCTCTGTACTTCCACCATCATCTTGCCCAGCCACCATCTTTCTGAGTCTTGAGAGATTTCTGTGCTTTTATAACCTGGCTGTTACCTTTTGCTTGCTGGGGAATATTCTTTGATCTCTAGTATGTCTTTGGCTTTCAGTAATGTCCCGTGACATCTCTATCTTGTTGTTTTATCCCTATCTCGGAGGGCTCTTATAGTATACCATGGAGAGATTTTCCTCTTCTGCTACTCCCTTACCTTTGGCAGCCATTACCTTGGGTAAAGCCCAGATTAGGTAAAGACCCAGATCACTTTGTAGGGATTTTTCTTATCTTTCCTGTCCTGACTCCAGCTTTTAGCTACTGTCTTGTACTTGGGAAAGGCCTGTGTGCCTTGATGTAGTTTGAGAGGACGCACTTTAGTCTGACCACTGCTGTTGGGGCTTATAACGTTTGTACTAAGGGAAAATCCGTGAGTTAGAGCTAGCAAGTAGTTCTAGACTCACTCTGTGGCTGGGGCTCCTTGTGTAACAGCATGGAATGCTCGGTCTCCCTGACTCTATCTTATTTAAGCCTGGTTTGTTCCCATGGCCTTCAGGCCAATATTTTCTGCTTAGTCTTACATATAGACACATGCTAATCATTAGAAAAATTCTGCTTGATCTTGAAGAGATAAGGGAAGTATGAATTGTTTATAAAAGAACCTTGTGACTGGACTCACATCAACAAGCAAGGCTTCCTCGTACCCCAACTGGCCCCCTCAGATGTCTGTGGGGTCAATCACCTGTGCCCTCTCCAATTTCCCCTTCCCTTGACATAAAAGAAATCTGAACTCTGTGATTTCTTAAGATAGATTTGAGGTACCACTAGGGCTCCCATCTTCTCAGTTGGCACCTTCTTGATCAATAAACTTTTCCCTAAACTCTGACATTTTTAGTTCTGACTTTTTGAAGATTTGGGCACATGGACTTTGAACCAGCAACGTTTGGATTATAAACTGTCACACTAATCTACACACAGGCATTAAGAGATGATTAAATGCTCAACTAGTTTCTCTTTATCCCTCTCTATAGCAGTCTTCCTTCTACAGTCAATCCACAAGAGATAAAAGCAACTATAGGCTTTTTCTTTCTAAGAATGTCTTATTATTTCCCAGATTTTAGTTTCTTTAGATGTCTTTGGGGCCTCAGTTCTCTTAAAGGTTTTTTAAAAAGCTATGATTTTTGTAACTTATGTAGTTCCTTAACTAGTTGGTGTGAACTAACGTCTTTTGTAAAGTTCTACATCCCAATTCTAAAGAGAAATCCTTTATGTTCATCTTTTTCCCTCAATTTTCAGTAGTTTCTCAGTTTTCTATATTAAAGACCACAACTCCTATCAGACAGCTCTCCTACAACTACAGCTTGTGCCTGGCTTCTGTAACTGCTCTCCAGATTTAAGGGAAATCATAAGTGCTTGCTGTTGCTGGATCTGAGCTGCTTCACCCTCGTCGCTAGCTTCTTTTAAACTTGTCCACGCTTTTGAAAGTAGTCCCTTTATTAAACTCTTCTCAATTATGCTATTTGAATGAGCCATTTTCTTTCTGCCGAATCCCTGACGGATAGGTAGCATTTCTCTGAGAAAAAGAGATTAAATCCATAGGAAGATGGCAGAGAATATAATGAAGAAGGAAAAAAGAAAGTTGCCATAGTTGGTTGACTAATGTTGAAGTGGCAGCAGTGTTGGTGACACCCAGGAATGGGAACAGGAAGAAGAGATCTCCTTGCTAATACATCTTCTTTAGTAAGCCTCTGGCTTTTAAAATGGAAAGCCAAGCACCAAAGTATTATTTGGGCTAGAGGGCCACTTTCTAGATTGAATTTTGGTCTACTTCTTGGTGTATACAAAAGGTTAATTTAATGTGGAATACAAAAGCCAATGAATTAATGGAGCCTTCTTGATGTGGTGGGGCTTTGGGTGGTAAGGAGAGGTTAGATGAGAAAGCAGAGAATTCCAAGGAGACAAATTATTTTAATCAGCTGTAATGTTTTATTAAACATATAGTGTTTGTTATCATATAATTCACTGAACACTTACATGAACTCTTAGGTTTCATGTAAGTATCTGAAAATGCCTCTACAAGACCCTGTTTTGGTAGAAGGTACTATGAAATAACCAAACCTATTGGTTTATCTCAGTGCCTGGAACACTGTAGGTATTCAAAAACTGTTAGATCTACTGATACTATCTGACATTTATTGAGCACTTACCCTGTGCCAGGTACTGTGCAAAAAGTACCCTAATGACACACTAATATTCCAATTTATAGGTCAGGAATCTGAGGATACGAGATGCATTTCTACAGTAGACACTTAATAAAGTGATAATGACTTGACTGAGGTGAAGATTGTGTCATTTAAAAATTTTCAGTTACGCGGGAAAAAAAGCTTATTGGAAATCAGTATTGAAAGTCAAAAATAATCTCTTTTCTTTTGCATGCACGTATTCATAAAGTTTATTAATATTTTGCAAACCCCCGTAGGATAAATCTGAGCTGACAAGAGTCACAACGACGTTACCTATTTTCTGAGAGCAGAGATTTCATTCTCTTCTTTTACTCTTTATTCTTTCACTGATTACCTTCCTTTCATTTTTTTGCCACTTCGTTTTCTCTTTTAAATCTTTGACATCCCTTTACCCCTTCATTTATGCCTTCCTGCCTTCCTTCCTTCCTTTACTCAAACAAGGACAGATTTAATTTTTAAATCTTATTCAAAATGGTGCCACGTCATCCGCCGGGTGGAGAACTGGGAAGTGCTGTCACGTTTCTCCCGGCCAGCGCGGATCTCCGCCGGGCCCCACCCTCTTCGCCTCACCTGCTCCCAAGGAAACGACTGCGAGGCCGAGTCACAAGCTCTGGCCTCGGGCTCCCTTCCCCTCGCCCCAGGGCCGCCCCGCCCCTCCCGGATCCCGACTGGCTGAGCGCATTTATTTGCATATTTCTACCTTTGTTTCCTACTGGCGGCCAATCAGCGCGCGGGGCGAGGCGTTGGTGCTGGGCGGGGCTCGGGCTCCAGCTGCAGTGACCGCAGGTTCCCGAGCGAGCAGGAGCCGCAGCGGGCGCGGCGCGCATAGCTGCCCAGGCTCCCGGTCCCCCGCCGGTGTCCGCGCCACTGTCTCGCCTCCGCCAGGCCCCGAAGGCAAGGACAAAGAAGGCTGTCTGGGAGGGTCCGTTGGAGCCAGATTTACCTGCAGTTGCCGGAAACTACAGGCTCCAAGATGGTTTGTGGGGGCTTTGCGTGTTCCAAAAACTGCCTCTGTGCGCTCAACCTGCTCTACACGGTGAGTATCCCGAGCCCGTTCCCTCCCGCCCGGGGGCTTTGCACCTGCTCCGGTGCTCCTTTGCTTCCCTGCCTGGCCAGCGACCCTCTCACTTCGTCCCGCGCCCCCTTCGCGTCTTCCCACGCTGTGCGCGCCCCGGGCCTCGCCATCAGTCCCTACTAGCGACCTGGAGCGGGCGCTTGTCGCAGTCTCTTCCTTTCCTTCATTGTGAAGCTGCTGTCTTTCTGGCTCGCTGGCGGCGTCTCGGCCACATTGCTCTACCCCGCCCCCTCACCCACCGCCTTGTTTTTCAGTTATTTGACCAGACCATCCCACTTTTCTCTTCTGCAACTCCCAAACCCATCTGGGACGGGTTTGGAGGCGGGAGAGCCGCCTCGGGTTTGAAGACCGTTTTGCAAAATAACTTGGTGATCTGAAACCGACAAGGAGGCTTGTGGACGGTGTACATCTAGGTTAGCTCTCCGTGCTCCTGTGATTTTAATTGAGGCCACAGAGGAGGTTCACAGGATATCCGCACCTTCCGAAGTTTGTTTCGTGCTTACATAAAGGGATGTCTTTTTTTTTTTTTTTGGCTAGCTTTGTTCATACTGTATGTCTTTCCCATATGTCTCCCTGCCTCTTATCAATATCCTAACTCCATTTTAAGCGAAAATTTCCAGTAAATATGCGAGCCTCCACCCAAGTCGTTTCTTTCCCTGCCAACCAACGTGGGCCTTTTCGTTTTAACGTTGCAGTCTTGTCTTTGTGATTTTTAAGGCGCTATTCTGGGTGAACTAGAGAATGGGAAAGCAGGTTGCCCTTTATTGACTGCCTACCACGTACCAGGTTTTACATACGTGATTTTCATTCGTCACACTGGCAACCATCCGAGACAAAGGGCATTGTCTAAATTTTATCCATAAAATAACAGACCAAACAGACCAAGAAGGGTCTTAATAAATTTACATAACTGGTAGCGGACGAGTGAGGAGTAGATGGTCTCAGCCTGTGAAATCTAGATCCTTCCACAGGCTCTACCAGACAACAGGAACTCCCCTCTTCTGTCATCATTCCTCCATCATATAGTCTTGCGCCCTTCTTTAAATACACCTGGCGTTTTACAGCACCCACCCCGAAAACAAACCCAGCTCCCCTGCTAGCTAGGCCATCTGTGCAAGCTTAGGTTACATCTTTGGAATGGAGAAGCTGCCCTGTGGTTACCAGCAGGAGAGAGAGGCTGGGTCACTTTACCATTGCTGATCCTTTGTATGTGAACAGGGTTGCAAAGCTTTGAAGGCAAGACAGGAACTGGAATAAAAGTATGCTTTTTTTGGTTAGTTAGGAATCCAATCAACATGGTTACAAATGATGGACTTGGGGGAAACACAATGCTAGAACACCCGGTGATACAGCTCCTTGTATTTGGAGATCATCGCAAGTTTCAGATCAAAATCCACCTTTACCTTAACTTGAAGCATGCTTATCACATTGATTATTAAGTAGATGCTGACCAGTTTTCTATGTATTTCCTTTTATTAGCATAAATGGTCTGCTTAGAACTTAAGATTCTCCATTTTGTGCCCTGTCTTTTGGCCCACCCCAGTGATTTAGTCACCTATATATCAGCCGCTTAACCTTATAGTGTATGCTTACACGCAGTAGAAGGTATACTTTGCATACTTACATGACTGAGGGGTCTGTCTGTATAGGTTAATGTGCAATGTGTATATTTTTTTAAAAAAGGAAGTTATTTTTAAATCTAGTTTTGTTGCTTTCAAGGTATATCATTTCTAGTTGTATTGACTGTGTATTAGGACAGCAAGAGGAAAGGTGATTCTAAAGGAACATCTTAAGACTTTTATATCTCTTCTAAATTTTTGACCTTAAAAGTGTATACTGTTTTAATAACTATGCAGTAAAACTTAATTGGAAATTCATAGGACTATAAGCTCTTGCAAATCCCGCACCTTTTAGACAAAAGAATATTTCTTAAAATGAATTAGTTCTTATATAGTGTGAACAAGCTAAAATAATTTCAGTAGTTTAAATTGGAGATGAACAAAAAGTAAGAGTTGGACCAGGTTTTAAATAAATGTTGAAAATGTTCTACAGCTATTATTTAGATTCTGTATTTTTCCTGATTGCTCTCAACATTTTTTTTCCGCCCCGCCCCCATCTCTCAACATTTTAAGATTAAAAATGGAAGTGGTTGGAGCGGGGTCGAGATGGAAGACTTGGGAGACATTACTTTCTAAGGCAAGAACAAGAGCACCTTTCGTTGGTTCTAATCCCACCTGAGTCACTGACTCTAAAATACGCTCCAAGTCGCACGATTAGCTTTGAGGTCATTTCTTAAAGTGTTTACCAAAATCAAGGTTGCATATGGAATGGCAGTGGTAAAGACCACAGACTGCCTTAAGCGTCATCTCTCTTGTGTTGATGCATTTTCTTGAGGAATTTAGGACTCTATCAGCCAAACTGTCTTACATACTCAAGTGGCCTGCTAATGAGCCTGTTATTAGAGCAGGAATTCTGATCGGTGTAGAAAGCATTTCACTTAAATAGGTCAGAAGGAACGTCCGCCAGGCTTATCATGGACATTTGATCACTAACCAAAGTTTTGGTTAATTTTTGTTGTTGTTTATGGTTTGGTTGTTTTAATAGGATCTCTAGTAGTGAGCAACTTTAAGTGTAGTGAATATAAACAGTTGATAGATATGAGACTCTTCACACACCTTCATGGTGTCATAAGAAAGAATGACTTGATTCAGAATGTCCCACTTTTAAAGAAACTAAAAAGTTTCTTTATAAATATTTATTGAGTGCCTACTATGTGCTAAGCACTGTTTTCAGTCTGGGAATACAACAGTGAAACTGGGCTTTCAAATTAATATGCTTTTTTGAAGCCTCTTTTTTATTTACTATCTTTCTAAGTATGATCTCAAGAGTTTTATTCAGTCAATAAACATTCGCCTACTGGGTGCACTCTGCTGGGAACTGTGGGAAATAATAAACACATACAAATGCAAATACCTACTCTGTGAAGACAAGATCTACTTGAGATTCATGGAGTAGGACAATTAAATGCTATGTAAAGAAGGGACTGACTTTAGGTACCAACATTTAGGGGAAGTGTTTCCTGGTCACAGAAGTTAGGGGAGTGCAGGTATGATTGGATTGGGGAAATGTAGAAATAATGTGGGTGTTTTTTATACTTTTTATGATAGAATACAAATTAAAACTACTCTGGGAAGATGGCTTATTTTACCTTTAATAGTATATGTTAAAATAATTTTGATTGAAAATATTTTGACAAAGTGAAAAACAACTTTTGAAAATTATATTTAGTGATTTGTGGGGAATTTTAGGAAACACGAAATAAGTGATGTATTCCAATATGTAACATTTTGAAGATTTATAACATATCTCCTTGTGCTTCTTAAGCAAAGAAGAAAAGACTTGGGACTTGCACTGTTGATATATGTGTGTGCGTGTGTGTGTGTGTGTGTGTGTGTATACATATAAGTAGTTTTAATCAAGAATGTAAGAACCAGTCTATGGCCATGAACAAGCCCAATCCCGTTTGATCTCGGAAGCTAAGCAGGGTTGGGCCTGGTTAGTACTTAGATGGGAGACCACCTAGGAAGAACAGGTGCTGTAGGTGTAAAAAATAAAAAAAAAATAAGGGATTGTTAGCTGACAGGATCCTTGCAATCTATGAAGTCAACCGAGGGTTGCCTTGCCTAAAAATAAATAAATAAATAGATAGATAGATAAAAAATAAAAAGAATGTAAAAACCAGAAAATATTTTTATACACTATGAAGAGAAAGCACTGAATTAGAGAAGAAAACTCAAGTTTCAGTACTAACTCTACAGCTTGGAATGTAACTTTGGGCCAGCAGTTTATTTGAGCTTCAGTTTTTGTTTTTGTTTTTGTTTAATTTATAAACTGGTGGTGATATTTTCTACTCTCCCCCCATGGGGTTGTAGTGAGGGTGAAATGAGAAAATGTGGAATAAATGCTTTGGACGCACTACAGGAAAAAAATAAGTTGTTACAGCTTCAAGTGGAAAAGTTGAATTATTTTAAATATCTGAATTATAAACCTGCATGTTATAATGAAGAAATTTTCAAATTATTGGAATTATTAACACTTACAAGGCTCGTGTTAACTCAAGCAGGGCCTATGGAGTTTATACTCTCAAGATAGAAGTACTGTTCTTTCAGTTGTAAGGACAACAACTGAGATGCAATAAATATAAATTTGGAATGATTTACCTGAATATTTTTTTTGAGTCCTGTTCTGTTAGACTGCTCTAATTTTGTTTAGTCCTAACTCCAAAATAAATGAAAAGCGCTAGTACTTAAGCTAAAGAAAAATCTTGTTGCAATTGCTTTTATATTTTTGCACTTTTAACCATTTTTTAAAATTGTCATCATTTTTCAAATTATTCTTGCTTGATATTTTAGTGTGTGGATAGTTTTATGTTTTTCTCTCTCTGCCCCTATTCAGACTATTGAGTGAATTAAAAAATAATTCATTTTTTACAGAACCTGGAATTTTCACATGATTTTGTTGTGCTGATATTTATAGAATGCCTTTGGGCTAACTGTAAAATTTCCCAACTTTTGATTTAAAAACACAGTAACAAAAGTGTGCCATTTATGCCATTTCTCACTTGAAACAGGATTATCAATTTTCACAAAGTTTAATTACATAAATGTGAGGCATGTACAAAGAAAAATTAAATTTTTGAAAAATTATATTTCATCTCATATTTGAAAAATGAGATTTGAACATCCCAGTGGCTTAACTTCACATACAGTTTTAGGTGATTTAAAAGGGAGCCATCATTACTTCAAACACATTTGAGTTACTGGTGAGGACTGGCTGGGTTGAATTCCTCTTCCTATTACATTTCACCTGAATTCATCCTGCAAACTGTCTTACCATGGTAAAATGAGTAATCCAAACCCACTTGTAATAATGGATGAAAATTCTTGGAAAATAAACTCAAA